AAAACTCCATAACGATTACCGACGGATTTGTTTCACAGATTTTCACACGAAATCGTAAATTATATGCATATATATTGTATAAACAGTGTATCAAAAGAAAACAGACAATTGTTTTTATTATTTTCATCCAAAACCTCTAAACTCAAGATAAAACCCAAACTAAACATTAATTCTGTTAATATTCTTAATAACAATAAATGTTGTCATAAATAACAAATATTAAGCATAAAAACAATTTAAATGCAATTTATGCCAGAATTTAGGGCCACAATAATCATCGACGTAAAAAGCGTTGATATCGTGCTAAAACAATTTGGCGCTACAATTATAAAGTGTTTACTCTCTTTGTATTTCCACTTTTATTGTTATCCTTTCTTTCTATTCACTCGTATTTATCTATTTTTATACACTATTTATCCCGACTTTCACTTTCTATTCCTATAGTTTTGTGTAATTTGTACTCTATTTCCACTCAAATACAGTCTATACATGTTTTAACTCACAAACCCTGGGAGTAATTTAATTTAATATACAGAATATTACACAAATTATAACTTATAATCATATTATAACAATCTCTTAATGAATAAAATTATTTGTTAAATCTACTTAATTCGTTGACGTTAATTGCATTATTGTAAATAACCATTAGTATTTTTATGCATGCTTATTATATGCAAAATCATGTTATAACAAATTAGTTGTACACCAGTTATGCCTTATTGACATAAATTGTTTATAATTTGCTTATAAAATATAAATTCATAACATTGTTATCAAAATCTATAGTTTAGTTGATTTGACAAAAATGAAGTCAAACATAAAAAGTCTATTTACAATGAATTGACTTTAATTTGTATAAATATAAAAATTGTTAATAGAAGTTAATTTACTGTAATAATGACTTAATCAGTAAATATCGCAACAAATATTAAATTTTACGAAAAAAATCAATAAACACTATTATATGCAACAAATAAACAAATAAAATGGTTTTACAAACCTCTTTGAACGGTAAAGTTGTTGCAGAGGTCGCGGACAAACTGTTTGGCATCAGTGGCCACATTGGTGTAGACCTGTTGCATCTCAGGTGAGAAGCACTTCTGGATGTGTAGATCCAGACAAATCACACCATCCTTTAGGTCTCTGTCATATCGTGTGAACAAACAAATTATGTTGTCATCAAAAAACAGACACAAAATGATCACAAATGAGATCCATGGCATACATGCAGGCGTTCTCCAGTTCATCCTCATTGACAGGAAGGGCCAAATCGCTCTCTCCATTGCCCACCGATTGTAATAATTTGAGACAATTGTGAAACTCTTCAATTGTGCAAAACTCTTCGCCCGAACCACTGATTTGACGGACAACTAGTTTTGCGGACAAATAGTTTTTACGATTAATTAATATTCATTTGATGTAATAATTCTTGATTTCATATCAAACTCCACCGCAAAGTCTACATAAAATTGGGATCATTTACTGTATAAAAAGCTTATATGGCTTACGATTTAACGAATCGTTTAGAAAGTGAATCACAAATAATCAAAATAAATATCCGATAAATCTATGGCAA